TGCTGTTGCAAAATTTAAAGTATAAATAGACAAGACCACATAAAGATAAGGGAGAAGGAAAAGAGCAAAAAAGAGAAACAACTTGTTCAAGACCAGAAGGAATCCTCCAATAAGGCCAAGACTAGAAATTACAGCTCTACAGTTTCCCAACCTGTGGCTTTCTTCATAAGCCTCTGGGGTTCTTTTTGATGTTAGGAGCACCCAGCTATCTCCACACTCACAGGTGTCCTTGTGCCATACAGAACAATCCCCCCACTTGTCACCGATGAGGTGTTATTTTTCCTAAGCCATCCCTCCACTGGACAGCAATGTTCAACATTCAATAGCTCAGATATCACAGTATGTTTCGATATCACAGTATGTAAATAGCTCAGCTATCAAGCTTTGATGGATTTGCATTTCTTGGCATTTTTTTTGGCTAATTCCCATGAAAGGAAGGAATGTTACTGGAGCTCACCATATTCCCATGCGCTGCTGCCTGGCGATGGACGTGCTGCAGTGCAGGTGTCTCCTGGCTTTGGGGTCCGCACACTTGGCTTCTGCCAGCTAAAAGCATCCATCTCACTCAGTCAGCCAGGCTTCCTCTGGTCAGTAGAGAAGACACAACTTACAATAAATATAGGATTAAGTAACTTCCTGTAGATCCTAGCTCAGGAACCCCACGTGAATGACTTCAGCACAGTTCTCTAGCCAAACATTTCTTCTATTCTGTTGTCTTACCCTAAGGCATGACTTGAGGTAACTTTTTTCAATCCATGGCATGTAAGCATAGCAATAATAAAAATGAGACCCTCACTGTGATAAAACAGCCCAGTATTAATTGAAATGCAGGGATACTGGTTAGCACAGATCTATGCATATCCATTGCAATGGATCAGGATTATATTTACCATGAATTTAAAAAGTGCATCAGATGTTATCCATCAGCTTGAAGTAACACTGACTACCAGCTTCATGGGACATCTGTTTTCCCTGTATGTTTGTCAAAAAACTAGGAACTGGTTTCTTTTTTTCTGAAGGAAAGCTATGATTCCCATGTAATCAAAAGATTCCAGGAGCAGGAGACGTAACAAACACATTCATGCCTTCTAGATATAGTAGCAAACACCAGTGATACTATTTACCTCTGAGAAACACAATCAAGAGTCAAGCAATGTCCAGCAATCAAGGACATGATCTCTGGTGAGTCCAGAGCTACTCATCTTTTCAATGCAGCTACAACTGAAACCAATACAATTAACATTATATGTAACTGTAACATTAATAAATGAATGCTAATTATCTGCCAAGCTCTTGCCCTGGTGGAATAAATCTTCCATACCACCAGCAACAACTCCAACTTCCACTCATTCATTGTTTTAGTGCTTTTCGTGCCAATGTTTAACTATGGATACTATATTAACATGCATTGCCACTTGGAGAACCAGTGAGTAGGCTGGGACAGAAGATATTTTGTATTTTAAGACCAATGTACTTTCTTTGCAACCCCTTGGGCTGTTGAATAATACAATTCTTCTTCTGGCAATAAATGATGAACGTGATTTATGATAACTATGCTTTATACAGGTGTCAAAATCTGCTTTGTTGAACTTCCCTTTTCCATTCCTCCAAGCTCCACTGTAATTTAGGAACACCCAAGGTACAGAGCTGTATATTTATCTAAGTTCTTCAATATACAGTTGTGGAGAGGGAGAGAGATGGAAAGAGGGGGAACTTAATCTATGTTTAGTGCATTGATTAGTCAAATGATATGACCCAGTCATTATCATATACCACTGTTAGGGAGGAATTTCCCACCATATATTTATGTTAGAGAAATCAAAGTGCCAAAGTTATTATCTCATCATAAATGTTATCATTCCAAACTTTGCTTAGTACCGTAAGATATTTCTATATTATACCCAAAAAGCATATGGGCTGGTCATATCTCTGAAGTGATCGATGTTCCACGGACTGTGCTAGAGTTCAGCTTCAATTTAAGCTTCTTTCAGCTTAACTGAAGCAGAAAGATAATTGCTTAATTTCAGATCATAGGGTGACTGGAGATCACGTGTGCCTGGATGTGTGCACACATGCATGTTGTTTGCTTGTCTTTCATCCCAACCCAAATGCAACCTTTCCTGTGACTAGCTTTTTCAGGAGGCACCTTAATCTAGCTAAAGGCAGAGACATCTTGCCAATACTTCAATACAGTCAATACTTTCCTTCTACAGGAATGATTAGACTTCCTGCAGATTCGTGCTCACACTGAATTTTAACTTGCATGTTTGTCAGTTTTCAATTCAAATGTATTCCAAATATTTTTTTTTCCCTGTTCCGCCTCCTGCTTTCGTGAACTGTTTTGAAGAGTGTAATTAAAAGATGCTTTCTAATATTATTTTGTCAAAATATTTTTGTAGCATAATATATTAATAAAATGTTATTATAAATCCATAGCACAAGAATCTTGTATGTCTAGGTTATAGAATCATAGAATGGCTTGGGCTGGAAAGGACCTTAAAGACCACCTAGATCCAATCCCCCTGCATTGGCAAGGACACCTTCCACTAGAACTGCTTGGTCCAAGCCCCATCCAACGTGGTCTTGAACATTTCCAGGGATGGGACCTCCACAGCTTCTCTGGGTAACCTGTTCCAATGCCTCACCACCCTCATAGTGAAGAATTTTCTCCTAATGTCTAAGGGAAAGGAGAGGCAAGGAGGAGAAACAAATAAGTTCAATTACATACACTTCATAGGTGCAGAAACAGAGATGACTGAAGGAACCTGAGCAGGGTCACCAGGCAACAGAGATAGGAATAAGGACACAAGCAGCAGCATCTGTCACTTTGGTCTCTCTACAAGCAACACTAATGTCAGATGGGGTGACATGCCAAGACAAATTCTTTGGAAGGTCAGCCCTGCAAATACTGACACACAAATCCAGAGTGAGGGTTTGATCCTGAAATTATTCTGCCTGAATAATGACTGAATTCTGTCAAAATGACCTGAAGTAGACTCGCCCTAAGTTTAGGCCAGGGACACAGGGGCAACAGTTGATAAACCAGGCAGTGAAGGATTCCTTCAATTGTAGCAAACACGAGGCCTGGGAGTGCTGGCATCTGGTTATGTTGGACAGTTTCCTTTCTGGCAT